TGGGGGGGGGGGGACTCTAATCTTGCAGTCAGTATTAAACGACAGCATCACTTCCTGTCCATTTCTTGCAAAAAAGAAAATCCTAATCCCCACCCAACTCTACAGGGACCCTGCGATGGTGTGAATCCAGTGTTTTTCTTCTCTTCTTTCTCCCCCACCCCTCTTCCTCTTATCCACTCCTCCTCCGCACATCATTTTACCATGACAACAGGGCCTGGACTTTAGCTACCGATTCTTAAGACGTTGCAAATAACCATTATGTATTAGTGGCAGGTCCTCCTCCTTCAGGACACAGAATGCACTCCAATGTTTCTCGAGATTTATTTCCTTTTTCCTGCCCCCCTTCTTGTTTTCCCTTGCAGTGCCAAGACATGAGGCATAAACAGGCTCCTTGTCTAAAAACGTGATGTTTTTGGGATGCAATTTGATGGTTCAGGGTTGTTGTTTTGTTTTGTTTTATTTCGGCAAAATGGTCCAGTCACAAGTTCAGTCTGTGAAAGAAGCTTTTCATGCTCGTTCGGAAAGTTTCCCATTTTTGTTTAGAGGTTTTGTTTCTTTCCCCTCACCTCAATCCTATATTCACATTTCAATGCCAAGTAGCTGGGTAATGAATTAGTTGTTGTTGTTGTTGCTGTTGTTGTTGTTTTTGCCTTCAGAGTACAATCAATGGTTTTTCTGTCCGCTCGGCCGAGTTGGCAGCGAACGTGCAGAGATTGGAATCAAGGATTCAGGTGAGGTGAAACCATTTTTGTTCACACGCACTTGTTTAGGTTATAAACACAAACAAGTACACGAATCGTGCAGTTTACTGTATTCTGATTTTAAAGTCGTTCCAATGAGGACGTCGCTTTTTATTACCGCCCTAGAGCCGTCGCATGCTCGCGATCGGATGAAATGTCTCTTTAGTCTTCACCACTACTCGCTCTTTTGAATATTTCGCAAAGCTGTCTCTTCATTCACAGAGGAACTGTTAGGGGAAACCTGTCGTTTGTTGAATGTTAGTTAAGGTCAGCTGTCGCAGACACTGGCGTTAGTTTAGGCCTTCAAGCTCCCCTTGTCTGCACTTTATTTAAGGTCTATCTTACAGATCTTACTCTTCTGATGTGAAATACTGGGGATGAGTATCTTCCCCTTTGAAGAAGTCTCTCTTTGAAGGGGTCACTTGTTGCTCTTTACACAAGTATGGTCTGGGTGTCTTTTTTCCCACAAGCTTTTCTTCTATCAGCTCCTAAGCAGAAATTTGTAGAAACCATATATTTATCAGTGTTAAGAAGGGGTGACCTGTTTGTTCTCTGACAATTAAAGACGTGAAACAATATATTTTTTCAGCTTAGATATGATTTTCAATTGTTACTCTTTTTTTTTTTTCTCACTGTTTGAACCATGTTTTCTTAAGCGTACAGTGGGGGTTTACACCATGTGACTGCTAGACCATGTGCCAATTGACGATTTGTTATCTAGACAAGTATATGAAGATATTTAGTCATATCTGTGATTTACAAATTATTTCTGTGGGATGATATTTGCTGAAGCTTCTTCTTCTAACTACCCATACAAATGATTGATTTGGAGAAATTGATTAAACCAGCTTAGACACCAGAAAAGGTCGTGACTTGATTACTTTTTTACCTTTTTTTTTTCTTTGACCTACTTTGTGTAGGTCAGAAACTGTCCCTTTATATTTGCACATTAAAGAGGGTGACTTTCAACTATTCCCTTTTCCCTCAGAATGTATACTGCTTTATAATTGGTACTATAATCTTATGTGATCTATCAATACAGTTTGGTACAAATATAGCATATACTTGATTCTGAAGGATACAAGAGTTTCTATATTATATATATATATATAATATTTTCTGTCCCTGAAGTGGCTTAGACCAAGTCTGTTTTTGCATGTCTTCATTTAAGGCCTCCAAAAACATACTTTTAAAATGATCCGTTATAAGTTGCTTCACCTTTATATTTATACATTTTTGCAGCCACCTGAAAGCAATGAATTTATATATAATATAAATTATGTTTTCAGGCCTGGAAAACAACCATCCTTTAGAATATATTATATATTTTTTTTTTTTATCAGTTATGCTCTAAAATATTTAATCAACTAGTAATTGCTCAATTAACATAAAACTGGCAAGCCACAGTCATTGTTCTTTCGAGACAATTATTTAGCAAAGGTAAGAATCACAGTTTTAATAATTTTATAATATATGTGATCCATATATTCTATATGACCCTGGACCTGTCATAAGGGTCCTTTTTTTAATGAGATTTATACATCATCTGAAAGCTGATTAAATATGCTTTCCATTGATGTATGGTTTGTTAGGAGAGGACAATATTTGGAAATTTGGAACCTTGGGGTACAAAAAAATCTAAATATTAAGAAAATCACCTTTAAACCTGTCCAAATTAAGTTCTTGGCAATGCATATTACTAATAAAAAATGAAGTTTTGATATATTTACGGTAGGAAATTTACCAAATATCTTCATGGAACATGATCTTTACTTAATATCCTAATAATTTTTGGCATAAAAATAAAAATCGATAATTTTGACAATGTATCGTTGGCTATTGCTACAAATATACCCGTGCAACTTAAGACTGGTTTTGTGATTCAGGGTCACATATAGGTTGTTTGTTGTTTCTTATTCAGTAATCACAAATGCATAGAAAGATAATTCATTACTCAAAAATTGTAACAGTTTTAAAAAGATGGGTAGTGCTTTGCCAAAAACCTCTGCTACAGCACAGTAAAGCCAGATGTATTTTAATTAAAATATACTTTTCATGTAGCTGTACAGTTTTTAGATCCAATTTTTGTCTATTGACAATTCAGTGTGATTTTTAACAAGAAAAGCAGATACTGAAACAGCACAGATAATGTCTCTTTGAACACACGGTGTCCACCTCAGGTGATGACAATGTATCATTTAGAGCAAACTTCCAAAAGTAGCCAACATAAGACTCATTAAGAGGTCTTGAGTTATTTAGCAGTTAGACTCATGTCTATTTTTGAGGTCAACACTGTCAACAGCAGAGGAGGTGTCGCATTTCCTTGTTACCTTAAGCACAGCCTTGGCTTGATGCAGTGTGACATGAAGACTCCTTAGTGAGGGCCTGTAACAAGTCCAAAGGTTCTGGAGAAATCATATGATTGATCTGACCAGCGCCACCATGTGGTCAACACCACAGGCAACATCCGTCACGTGGCCTGGCACTGTCACCTAAAACATGACGAGCATTAGCATAAAGAAAACAGATGAACAATTAATGTCTACTGCGTATAGTTCTGTTAATTTAACATGTTAATTTACTCCAATTAACTAAAAGTATATATTTTTTTGTCTATTCAATGTTTTCACCTAATGCAACAAGTTGAAATTGTTAATTGGGAGCTTTTCTAAGCAAATTTTGATCTTTGTGATTAGCTGTGATTCATTAGAATAATTAAACACCGTTTTATGTAATTATTTGTCAAAAAATCAATTGGCAGCCCAAGCTCTGCAATCTACACTTTTTCATGTTAAAAGAAAGAATGCAAAGTTTTTGGTTTCTTACCCTCCATGGAAAATACTGGTCATCATGTTTTCCAATGCCAAGACATCCTCTCACATTCTTACCCCAAACAAAAAGCTCACCTCGATCTGAAAACAATATTCATGTAGCAAATAACTCAGCCTTCTATTTACATGGATGTTAGCCAGGAAACAGACTGGATTTAATACCACCATGGTTATGCAAGCATTTGTGTTTTCAGGAGAAAGAACATTAACAGTATCCTGCATGAAAGCACATTTAAAATCACTTCAGGAGAATCTCATAATCATAGTCAATACAACATTTAATCTTGAGTGAATGTACATAAAAAGTAATAACGTTTTTACTGTATTTCACCTGTGATGGCTGCAAAGTGATTGAGTCCACAGTGGATGGATGAGACCTTCACTGTAGGGTTGAACTCTGACCTCCCAAAAAGCGTGGCTGGCAGTCTTTCTGGGATAGCAGACTCGGAAAGTTTCGGGCCTTTTCCCAGGATTCCAAAACCCCAAACAAACACCTCTCCTTCCTCTACAGAGATTGAGTTATTTAATTTGTTACATAACAAGCATTGCACAGAAAAGGTCATTCAAATAAACAATTTATGATTTTCAACAGTTGTATAGCTGGTTCAACAATTATGCATTCAAATATTAAAATCCATTGAGCATTTTAAATTATGATAATGACAAACCATGTAACCACTTTGTCTCTAAAATATGCATATAAAATATTCTTTCATACAGTGCTGCTTGAAAGTTTGTGAACCCTTTAGGATTTTCTATATTTCTGCATAAATATGACCCAAAACATCATCAGATTTTGGTAGACAAAGTCCTCAGATCAGTCCTGAAAGTAGACAAAGAGAACCCAATCAAACAAATGAGACAAAAATATTTTCTTTTATAATTTATTTGAGAAAAATTATCTAGTGTTACATATCTGTGCGGTGCAAAAGTATGCGAATCTTTGCTTTCAGTATCTGGTGTGACCCACTTTTGCAGCAATAACTGCAGGTAAATGTTTCTTGTAACTGCTGATCGGCTTGTAGGAATTCTAGCCCCTTTCTCAGTACAGAACCACTTCAGCTCTGTGATGTTGGTGGGTTTCCTCCTATGAACTGCTTGCTTTAGCTCCTTCCACAACATTTCAACTGGATTAAGGTCCAGACTTTGATTCTGTCATTCCAAAACATTAACATTGTTCTTTTTTTAACCATTCTTTGGTAAAACGACTTCTTTTCTTGGGGTCGTTGTCTTGCCGCATGACCCACTTTCTCTTGAGATTCAGTTCATGGACAGATGTCCTGACATTTTCCTTT